GAGGAGGAGGAGGAGGAGGAGGAGGAGGAGGAGGAGGAGGAGGAGGAGGAGGAGGAGAAGGTGGAGGACGCAGGAGAAGAATGAGGAGGAGGAGGAGGAGGAGGAGCAGGATGGGGACGAAGATGAGCATGGACTAAAGCAGGGTGAGGAGGAGGCGGAGGAGGAGGGAGGAAGAGGAGGAGGAGGAGGAGGAGGAGGAGCGCACGTACCTCAAGGATGACTTCACGCGCTTACAATGATAAGGCTGCCCGCGCGGCCGCCCGCGCCTGTTTGACCTGTGCGTCAGTGGCAGGGGCGAGAGGCAGGAGGATAGGCCTCAGTTTGTGGTAAATTGTGAAAGCGAGCACTAAGGATTGATGGGCTCGCAATCGCCCGCCTTCCAACGCATCTTAGTCAGGATCGCTCCCCAGACCTAAAGCGGACCCAGGGACACACAAGGGGGGAGGAATGATGCTTGGAATGCCGCCGCGGCCCACAACGTGGGCACAATTTGTAGTGCGCAATGTCGCCAGCGCAGTCGCAGCCAAGCCTGCGCTTCGCTTGGACCAGAATCTTCACCCTGCCACGCGGTATCCATGCGCCCGCGGGGGTTTTCACGCGTGGCCACGCGCGGGAAGGGGGGGAGCTCAGATAGCACGGAGTCGCCTCCAGCGGAGGCTGAGGCCAAGGAGAGGAGGAGGTGGACTTGCAGGATGCCAGAAAGCCGTCGGGCGTCGATTGAGCGCGGGAATGCCGTCAGGAAGACACGGGATCTGCAGGCTTAGTGAACACTGAACATGAAGCCTCGGTGGTTTGCGCATTGCTACGGCCATCGCCGCTGCTGCCGCGGCGTCACAGCGAGCCTTGAGGACATGGCTGGGGAAGGGAAGAAAGGAAAGCGGACCAGGATCAGAGGATGGGGGGGGGGGGGGGGCGAAAAGGGAGGCAAACCTCTGAACGATGCTCGAAGAGACTTTCCAGCACGGCGAGTGGCACTTCCCTGCCAGCGCACGCGACAGCGGTCCATCGCTGACAGCACGGTCCTGGATACGGCCAAGGACAGTGCTCCAGCGTCGATGTGCATAGCCTGCAGCGCGCCACAAGCATGAGAGACTCATCATCGTCATCGGCTCGGGCGCGCGGAGCCATCGAAGACAGTGGAACTCGGCTAGAGCAAACGATGATGGCGGCAGCCTCAAGGGCTTGTGCAACGCATGCGCCTCCTTCTGGAGGAGGCGAAAGGGGAGACGGAAGAACTGGGCGAGATACGAGAGGCAGGGGAGGATGAGCATACGATAGAGACGGACGCCTGCGTCGGCGGAGGCGCGCGCGCCTGCCACTGGCCGACGCCGAGACCACCATTTCTGGCCTCCAGATTCGACTTGATGTTCTAGGCTTGCCTAGAAATCTGGCACCCTCGAATGCTCGACCTCGCCAGATCTTGCCAGATCAATCTAGCCAGTTCTGAGAATCCGAATTCGACCACCACTTCTGGCATCCATTTCTGGCTCGCCCCAGGGCCGAATTGGACGCCCAGATGCCGGCAGCAGCTGCAGGTCTGGAGCCCGGCCAAAGGGGGGGGGAACTGGGAGCCGCGCGGCGGCCCGGAGCTCGTCGATCAAGAATCTTCCTGGTCGGGGCCAGACACTGGCCATCGCTCGGGCGTCCATTTCCGGTGTTTTTTTCCGTTTCGTGCGCGGCTTTCTCGCGAAATGATCGAGGATGCTCCTCGAGGGTCCACGCCGAAGGAAAAATGCACACGTCCGAGCGATGCCAAGGACAGCATGCATCAGGCTGCAGATCAGGGCAGGCAGGATCGGCAGCCGCTCCGAATGGAGGGTGGAGGAAGGCAGGAGAAAGAGAGGTCGGGCAGGGAAAGCCCCGCACCGTCCGCACGCGCGCCAGCTGAGAGGAGGAGGGGGCGGGAGGGGGCTACATGCTCCAGCCGCTCCTTTCGGGAGCCCCGAGGCAACGGGGGAGCTAGCTGACTGGATCCCTGGGCGCAGGCAGCAGCAAGGTGGCGGCATATCGGGTCCATCCCCAGGGCACACAAGGTTCCACTCAGCGGGCATCTCTGGGAAACTCCACGGCAAATATCAAAAAACCGATGCCTCTCAGAGCCAAGTTTGAGGAATCCCACAGCATCTGATCCCAGGGCCGAAATCGCATTTAGGTACACAGCTTCGGGGCATGATAAATCCTCGCAAGAGAGCTCGGAACCACTGCTGAGACATGCTGGGGAAGGCAGCGCGTATATCATATGAAATGAAGCACGGGCGACGAGTAGCAGCATCATCCCCAACGCTGCTACGGCGAGCCCCGGCATCTAAATTTACGATGCGCGACCCGAAGCTTCGGCCGTGAATGAATCCTTGCTGGATTTCGTGAACACGCTGCTTTGCTACTCTAGCTAATTAGGTGTGCATTGACGGTCTGGGCAAGGGCTTTACTGTCGGTATTCTTGAAATTGAGAGGGCGGAGGCAGCCAGCATCGCTCACGCGCGCAATGAGATCATGAGGGTCCTCACGATTGGGAATGAAGGCAAAGTTGGAGTGGTTTAAACCTTCGACAGGGCCCGCCCCCGAGAAAATCCGCAACGACATCTCATGTAGCACATCCGCGGTAGTTGGAACGGCCCTCCACGCGGCGCAAGGGAAACGGTCGGGGCAAGGGGAGGAGGCCCCCCCCCCCCCGCGTTTTAAAGCTCTGGCGAGATCAGCTGGGGAAGGGAGGGGGAGGTCGTTAAAAGGCATGGGAGGCACGCGGGTGTCTAGATATTCAGAAATCGCCACTCAGAACGAGTGGCCTCGGCGAAGATCGGCTGCCAGTACTCTTTGAAGATGTGGGCCGTGGACGACGGGTCGCGCTCGACAGCGAAGGGGCCGTCCTGCGCGTGCTTCAGGCCATGGAGGACAAGACGCCGCCGACCAGAATCCCACGCCGATTCATGTCTGATCGAAGTCTGCTGGATCTTCATTTGCTCCGGCACCCCAGCTGGCGAATCATCGCCTTGGGCGGCCCGCGGACGGCGGCCTGCGGCTCGAGCAGCCTGCTGCGCCACTTCATCGAACCGCTGCCGGTCAGTGAGCATCGCCAGGTCGCGGTACCCGGCGGCGCGAGCGAGGTTCGACCAAGTCGTCGTCGCCGATCCGCAGATATTGTTCGGCAAGGGCCGAGCTGCCACGAAGCCGATGAGCAAGCCGAACGTCTTGGCGCCAGACCGCCCGAGCGATTGCCCGAAGCGTCGCGCATTTGACCTCCGCCGCTCCAGTGCCGGCAGGCGGCAGGGGCCCTTTCTGCATCTCATCGCGGGTGATCGCAGCAGCCATGCGCATCGACTCTCTCATGCGCGCCCACTTGCCACCAGCGCCGCACTCGTGGAACCTGTGGGCGTCGATGCAGTTCTGGAGCACCTCGCAGAACCTCGGCAGCTGGAAGACGACGGCAGGGATCGAGCACGCGTCATGGCTCTGCGGCTTCTTCGGCGCCAGCTTCATCCTGATGATCGCATGGTCCGAGAGGGCCCAGTCAGAGAGCCGCGGAAACTCCTGCACCGCGTCAAGAGTCGCGGCGCAGTCAGCGACGAAGTGTGAGCGCAGGGAGATGAAGACACGGTCGATGGCACTGAGCGCCTCGACGTCGCGGCTGTAGCGCGTCGGCAGTGGGCTTTCCAACTCAAGCATGCCGCGCGCGAAAAGTGCGCGCCAAACAGGTTCAGCCTAAGACGCTCTGCCATCCGATGATCGCCGAGCCTGCCGCCGTTGAGGAAAGAGAAGCGATTGGTCGACAGCGTCGCTCACGTTGAAATCACCAGCAGCAAGAACATTGCGGGCGCGTTCGTCTTGCCTCGCCCAGGAGACACGTGGAACCCAACGCTGACGCATGGCCTGCTGTTGAGAGCAAGAGACGCCATAGTTATACATAGTTATGGACATTCAAGAATCGCACCTCCCTGTGAGTCGTGGGGGTTCGCATAGACAAGCGCTGACTGCGACCAGGAACAAGTGCATGGTGCACGAAGACAGGTTCATGTCCACGTTGAAATTGCTGGATGATGTCTTTCTGCGTGCCAGGGGATGATGATAGCAACGCCGCCCTTGCTGGAGCGGATGTCATTCACGTCAGATTCCCCAGGGCAGCCAGAGTAGAACAGCCTGTGCTGGATGTTAAATTGGTTCAGCAGCGCTGAGAGAGTGAGCTCGTTGCCGTGTACCTCCTGCAGGAATATGACATGCCGAGAATGGACTAAGCGCTTGACCTTGAAAATTTCCTGCCGACGATTCTTGTGATTGCAACAGCAAAGACCACGAGCGTTCCAACTGACAACTCGAAGCTCGTGAGAGCCTCCTTGGTCGACCTCCCAAAGCAGCCACCGCTTGCTTGGATTATGTCCATGTTGAAGTGTCCACGCCCTGGAACTGTTGTTTGACATTCTCCGCAACCGACTGGATGCTGATGCCAAACTGCGCCGACCCTTCAGGAGACTATGCGAGCTTGGTGGCTTCGTTAGCGCCCTGGGACTGGACCTCGACGATGGGAACTGCGTCGGCGCTGACAAGACCTCGAGCACGCATGAATCGCCAATCGTAGTCTGCGTATGTCCGCTGGAGAATACCCAACAGCCTTGTGCCCTGCATTTACCGTCGTACTTGCTGTGGCGATCTGTCGGGGTTGAGACAGAGAGAGTCGGTGGCACCGCTGACCGCCAGCGCCGTGGAACGCCTCCATGCACCGCCAGGAATCTGCAGTTGTTGGGCCAGCCGAACAGCCCCAGCAACACCAGGAGCGTTCCCATGTCCCATGAAGATGCAGGTATAACACCTTGCCAGGCGACCGGCCGTGGAGACAATATTGGTCAGCTGACAAGCCCGCGTCCTGGATCCACCGCGCAAGCCCATTCTTGATCTCCGTGCCGGCCGTCGGCTGGGCACAGCCGATCCTGAAGATGCTGCGGCCTGGGGGTCTGTCATATGTGTCGAGCCGCGCGAGGTCCACAAACCCCAGCCTCGGCATTTCGAGCCTGGGCCAGCAAGCGCTGCACCGCATGCATGTCGGAGCGTAGAGCGCCCTGCCGAGCCTCCATAGCAGCAGCACGCTCCTGCAGCTGGCGAATCTCAGAGTCGTGGGTGTCCAGCCGAGCAGCCTGCGGCCGAATGAGGCCCACCACCGTGTCGCGCATGTCGTTGCGCGCCTGGCCCATGATCGAGTTGACCTCAGTGCGGACTCCAACCAACTGCTGCGCTAAGGCGGCAGTGACAGCGGCCTCGATGGAATCAGCAGACGACGCCACACCAGCGCCAGGGGCAGCAGCTGCAGGGCCCGCAACGGCGCTCGCAGCAGCACGCCAAAGGTCAGCACGGCCTTGGAGTGGGTGAGCTGCGCGAGGTTCGCCCAGGTCGCCGTCAGGGAAGGTCGCAGCGAGCTCGATGTCGCGAGCCATGGCTGGCGCGAGAAGCGGATGTGCCTCCGCAGCGCCAGGACCACGGTGATCACCACGAGCATCGGAAGGAGCGTTCGCGCCACGGCGCTGAGCTGGGAGCCGGGTGCGGCCACCATGCCGAGAGCTCCCGCTGCAGGAACGTGACGATGAATGATCCCGATCTTGGCGACGACGGCGGTGCTTATCTTCCTTGCGGCGGCGGAGCGCACGGCGGTCCCGAGCGAAGGCTCCCCTGCTGCTCCTGGAGGGATCAGAGGCCCCATCGCTCGGCATGTGCCGTGGGCGCCAGAAAAGAAACGTGTAGTTAGTGACGGTGTCAGAAGAAGGGCGCCTGCAGCCTCAGTGTGGGTTGCCGCAGACGCACACGGCGATCGCGAGAGAAACAAAGCCTGCTGTGAGGCAGCTCGCCTCGAGCCAGCCCCTTGGCTGCAGGCAAGTACGAAGCCGCAGGGCCACGGTTTCGTACTTGAGCCACAATGGCTACGGGAGGAGGAGGAGGAGGAGGAGGAGGAGGAGGAGGAGGAGGAAGAAGAAAAGGAGGAGGAGGAGGAGGACGAGGACGAGGAGAGAGGAGGTGAGGATATGGGTGCGACGTGGGCGAAACGCGCCTACAAGGGGCCGCGCGAGGGGCAGTGCGAAGGCAGCCCGCGGCGCTCAGACCCGCAGGCCGGACTGCTGGGAGGGGGGGCCGTGGGCCGCCTCCCTGATGACACGAGAGTTCGCGGTGTGCGCCTGCTGGCAATCCTCGCCTCCTCCTTCATCCTCGTCCTCGTCCTCGTCCCCCTCCCCTCCTCCTCCTCCTCCCTCCTCCCCCTCCTCCTCTCCTCTCCTCCTCTCCTCCTCCTCCTCCTCCTCCTCCTCCTCCTCCTCATCATCATCATCATCATATCATCATCATCATCATCTTCTCCTGCGTCCTCCACCTCCTTCCTCCTCTCCTCCTCCTCTCCACTTCCTCCTCCTCGTCCTCCTCCTCCCCCTCCTCCTCCTCCTCTTCCTCCTCCTCCTCATCATCATCATCATCATCAACATCATCGTCGTCATCGTCATCATCAACATCACCATCATCAGCACCAGCATCCGCATCATCATCATCACCACCACCACCATTACCACCACCATCACCATCATAATTATCAACATCGTCATCATCCTCATCCTCATCATCATCCTCATCCTCATCATCATCGCCATCATCACCATCAGCATCGTCATCATCATCACCACAATTATTAGCATCCTCAACATCATCATCATCATCATCATCATCATCATCATCATCATCATCATCATCATCAGCATCAACATCAGCATCAGCATCAGCATCAGCATCATCATAATCATTATCGTTATCATGAACACAATCAGATTATTCCCTCATCGTCCCCTGCTTCTCTCCTCCTTTCCCTATCCCTCCCCCTCCTTATCCTGCGCTTCAACCACCCCCGGAACTGCCACGCCTGCCACGCTTTGCCAATCCGAATCGGATCTGGGGACAACGCCCAGCGCACCCCCTGCGCCCTGGGGCGTCGAGGAAGTGCCACGCCTTGCGAGCCCGAAGCGGACGGGGGACCACACCCAGCGCACCCCCATGTGGTGTCGAGGAGGTGCCACGCCTGCCACGGTTTGCGAGCCCAGAACGGACATAGCCCTGACTCCTGATCCGCCCTACTTTGGGCGATTTCGAAAGTAGGGCGGAAATTTCCGCCCTACTTTTGAGGCCCCTTTGAGCGTCGATTTCCGCCCTTGAGGCTCCTTTGGCGTCGATTTCCGACACAATTTTAGGTCGGAAAATCATCCAAAGTACGGCGGATCAGGAGCCAGGGAGGGGGACCACTCCTCATGGCATCCCCCCAGCGCTATCGAGGAAGCGCCACGACTGCCACGCTCTGCGAACCCGACGCGGGAAGGGGGACGGCGCCGAGCGCCGCGCCGGGGCGGTGTCGGGGCAGTGCCGCGCCTGACGCGCCCTGCGAGCCCGAAGCGGATGGGGCGGCCACCCCCATTGCACCCCCAGTGGTGTCGAGGAAGTGCCGCGCCTGCCACGCTCTGCGAGCCCAGTGCGGATACACTCGACCAGGATAGCAAGGGTGCGCGATGAGGATGCAAGGACCTTGGACGCCCAGTTCGAAGCTTTTCTGTAGGGTGACCAGCTCAGCGCACCCCCTGTTGTGTCGAGGGAATGCCACGCCTGCCACGCACTGCGAACCCGGAACAGATTTGGGGACGACCCGCATCGCACCCCCTGGTGGTGCCGAAGAAGTGCCACTCCTGCCACGCTCTGCGGACCCGAAGTGGATAAGGAAACCACCACCCTTTGCACCCCCGGTGGTGTCGAGGCAGCGCCGCGCCGGCCACGCCGGTCGAGCCCGAAACGGATATGGCGCTCGCACCCCCTGCGCACCCCCTGTGGTGCCGAGGAAGTGCCACGCCTGCCACGCTCTGCGAGCCCGAGGCGGACCGCGCCCCAAAAACCCCATGCGCACCCCCTGCGGCCTCGAGGCGCCACGCCTGCCACGCCTTGCGAGCCCGATAACGGACACCTGCCCCACCCCCAACACACCCCAGGTGGCGCCGAGAAAACATGACGCGCACTACGCCTTGCGAGCGCGAAACGGATAGATAGCGTTCCCCCCCCCAGCTCACCCCTTGTCGTGCCGAGGAAGTGCCACGCCTGCCACGCTTTGCGAGCCCGAAACGGACAGCGCTCCCACCAACAGCGCACCCCCTGTATTGTCGGGGAAGCGCCACGCCTGCCACTTGTTGCGAGCCCGAAACGGATAGCGCTCCCACCCCGGGCACACCCTCTGTGGTGTCAAGGATGGCACGCATGGCGACCGCACCCCCTGCGCACCCCCTGCGGTGTGGAAGGTGTGCCACGCCTGCCGCGCATCGGGGCCCTTGCACGCATAACGACCCCACCCCCTTGGCACCCCCTGCGGTGCGGAGAGTGTAGAATGTGCCACGCCCGCCACACTTTCCGACCATGGCCGTGCGGTTTTGTGTCTGCTGTGCGCGCGCGTGTGCAGGTGAGAAGGAGATGGACAAGGGGGAAGTGATGTGTGCGAGGTTCGCGGGCGGGGCGCGGGTGGGGAAGAAAACCAAAATCCCATTAAGCATGTTGGGGATAATTCCTACCCCAGAACCAACCCCGCTCACTCCGCCGGCGATCCCCCGCCCTCTGGAACGTCTGTGCTCAAGGCCCTTCCACCCCACCCAACAACCCCCTCCCGATACCTTCCAACCTCGGACAGTTATGTTCTTCAAACCCCTTCACCAAGACAACTCTTCGCTCGGAACCGGCCCCGCCTCTGGAACATCTGGAGCCTCTGTTACCTAACAGCGAAGACTGATAGGTTTCTAGTGGGGTCAAAAGAGAGCATCATGACTCCTCAGGGGGGTCGGGGCGGGACCCGGGGCGGGACCCGGCGCGGCTGCCGCCGCACTCATTTTTCGCAAACAGTCACACACTTCGTGCTCTTCGACCTCCCAGAACTCCATTCCCGGGCCACATTTTGGATGCCCGGAGCCAACTGTAGGCCACTTCGTGCTCTTCGACTTCCCAGAACTCCATTCCCGGGCCACATTTTGGATGCCCGGAGCCAACTGTAGGCCACTTCGTGCTCTTCGACTTCCCAGAACTCCATTCCCGGGCCACATTTTGGATGCCCGGAGCCAACTGTAGGCCACTTCGTGCTCTTCAAGTTCCCAGAACTCCATTCCTGGGCATGATTTTGAATGCCCGGAGCCAACTGTAGGCCACTTCGTGTTCTTCTAGTTCCCAGAACTCCATTCCTGGGCCACATTTTGAATGCTGAGGCAGGCTGATGCTGCGGCCGAGGCAGGCTGAGGCTGAGGCAGGCTGAGGCTGAGGCCGAGGCTGAAGGCAGACTGAGGCTGAGGCTGAAGCAGACTGAGGCTGAGGCTGAGGCAGGCTGAGGCTGAGGCTGAGGCAGGCTGATGCTGAGGCAGGCTGAGGCTGAGGCTGAGGCTGATGCAGGCTGAGGCTGAGGCAGGCTGAGGCTGAGGCCGAGGCTGAAGGCAGACTGAGGCTGAGGCTGAAGCAGGCTGAGGCTGAGGCTGAGGCAGGCTGAGGCTGAGGCAGGCTGAGGCTGAGGCTGAGGCAGGCTGAGGCTGAGGCTGTGACTGCGACTGCCGTTGCCGCTGCGACTGTCATCGCGAATGCGACTACGACTGCGAGAACAGCAGAATTCTACAACTGGATTTTCATCTGAATCTTAAGGGGAATGCTTTTAGATATGCTTCTACACATCGCTGTTAGGTTGCTTTGCCGGGATAATTTTTCAGGGAAATATGTCCGCAGGCGGCCCCCCCACCCAATTCCTGTAGTGGAATCGACCCCGCCCCCCATCCGCCCCGAGATCCCCCATCCTCTGAGACGTCGGCGCAAGACCCTCCACCCGACAATTCGCGGACCGGGGGCGACCCCGCCTCCAACATTCCCCGACGCCCCCCAACCTCTGGAACGTGTGTTTTCCAAGCCCTCCTACACGACGATTCCCCGCCCAACCGCCCCCCACCCCATCCTCTAGGATTCCTATTTTTGAGCAGGGGCCGACCGTCCTGGCATTTCTTTAGGCCTATCACGACATGTTTTTAGAACCCCAAAATGTTCTATGAACGAAAGCAATGCTCTTAGAACATAAACCCGATGTGTTGAAACAGGACAGCCCCAGCCAGAAATGTTCTGAGAACATTTCGTGGACACCACAGAAGGTTCTTAGACCATGAATTGGTCGGCCTATGGGCAGGCTAAGACGCTTCGCCACTGCTTGATATTCCCCCCCCAACTCTTGGCCCAGAACCGACCCCGCCTCCCCCCCGCAGCACCCGATCTCTGACACCTCGGCGCATACGGCCCCCCATCCGACGATAAAATCCCCAGCCCAGCGCCGACCCCTCCCACCCCGCCCGAGATCCCGCACCCTCTGGGGCGGCTGCCCTCGAGACCCTCCCACCCGACAGCTCCCAAGCTCCACCCGACAGTGCTTCGCTCGGAACCGACCCCGCCTTCCACCCCCACCCCGACGTCCTCCGACCTCTGGAGCCTCTGTCCTTCAGGTTCGCCCCCCCGAGAATCCCTGGCCCGGAACTGGCCCCGACCACCATTGCCCCCGACCCCCCCCGCCCTCTGGGCAGA